ATAGAGTCAGAATTGTTCACATTGGTAATAGGAACCAGATTTCTGAAACGTTTAATGACTCCTAACAGAAAGCTATTACATGAAATGAATATGAATATGCTGTCTGATGTCTTGTTTTAAAGTAGTTTTGAGATAAGCTTTTAGCCAAAAATGTATCGCTGTTGACGGAAGAAAACCTTGTATCTCCAAAATGGTAACTTTACAGGAGAATGAAAAAACCTACTTTACTTTTAATGTAAGTCAATGGAACCAGACTTTTTTCCAAGTCGTTTTGGGCCGTTTCTCGTGGTCCATTCTTCATGATATTTACATACAATGTAATATACAAGGTTTTCTTCTGACAGCAATGATATTGAAAAGCTATTTATGTTGGAGGGTACTTGTAGGGCATTGTAAGGCGAAATAGATCCCATAAAAACATAGTGTTTTCAGATTTACCACAATTTTACTATCATCAACATTACATATAAAAACTCAGAATACAAGTATAGGTTCACAGGTCATTTTATATAGTAAATAAAATGGCTATATTTGTGTAATAGACATCGTGACCCCCGGTTCCTATCACCACCACTGTAAAGAAATCTGAGTCAGTAAGTTTCACTAAAATGAACTGCTTCACATCCACTCTGAATGACTTTGTTTACATCTCCACCACTAAATTACGCAGATTTTAAAAGGGGCCAAAAAATCATCAGCATTCCCCTTCATAAACACTCTCATTAGCATTTCATCTGCAGTCAAATTAAAGGCAGCCGATGCTCGCTGGCTCTCAGATGATTTGAGTGTGGCTCCAGATTACTGCTGCTGGTGGGAGGCGAGAACACGCTCCTCGCCCCGCGCTGAGCAGCACATGGGGGGAAAAAAGGGGCCATATCGGAGAAGTGCTTTGTGTTTCTGCACAGCCATAGCGGAGGAGAAGAATGGGCAAGCTGTCAGGAGGGACTCTTAAACCTAAATGCCATCGCCAGCGTCATCGGAAAGCCATTCAAAGAAGCAATCACCACATCACCCCTCGCAGACCCAAAAGTGGGAGGCTTTTAATGTTTTCAAGTGGGCCGTACACGGAAAAAAAAAGAACAGCACGGCTCTACTGAGAGATAAAAGGATTGAGAGAACTGTGAAGACTGGCATGAAAACTTATCCGTGCATCTAAAGTGCAAGATATGTTTTTCTTTAGCAATATCCGGAGTGACATAAACTATGTTCAAAGGAAAAAATATCACTCATAACTATCACTCAGGAAATCAACCAAGAAACAAGAACCTGATTTACAGTATTGTGCGAAAGTCAGAGACCCTTCATTCTTTTAATATCCAGTCAAAAGAGCTATTAAGCACAAGTCATTGATTTTTCAGGAGATGTTTCTGAGGAGAACGGAAAAGTCAAAAGAAAACATGTGAAAAGAGGAGCTTTTCAATACTAGAATTTAAATAATTGTTTAAAGATTTACAGAAAATGGGACTCCTAATACCTAGTAGACCACCAAAAACTGTCACCATCAGATAAACAGAGCATAAAGATTTCATCTTTGAGAGATACACTGTGGAAATGATGTCTAAGCAAGTGAATTTATTTAAAGTCTAATATATGTAATTTTTCTCATGAGATTATTGTTTGAAAAGACTATTTAATCGGTTTCTATACATTTTCCTTGTTTTATGTAATTTTATCTTGTGTCGTATTCCATCGGCAGTCCATTTTACTTGTTTCAAATATTTTTTTGTGAAAAAAGCAAAATAATCTGCATTATTTCTCAACAAATATAAAATTATCTGCGAATGGAATAAGACACTTTCACTTTATAGAATAATTTATAATAAGTAAAAGTATGGAAAATGTATAGAAATAGGTTAAATAATTTTATAATATTCTTTCAACAATGTTATAATGAAAAATACTATATATATATATATATATATATATATATATATATATTAGGGGTGGGAATCTCTAGGCAACTCACGATTCGATTATGATTCAGAGGGCTGCGATGCGATTATGAAACGATTATCGATGCATCTCTTTTTTCTATATAGCTTTATATTTTCTCACTGTGTGAGCTCAAGTTTCGAGTTCAAGTTTCAAGTTTATTTGTCATTTGCCCAACATGTCAGGACATTTATGCATTGAAATGCTTGTGGTGAGGCTCAGCTAATCACTCTACAGTAAAGTAAATACGTGAAAATAAAAATACATGAAAAACCAACTGAAATATATTAAATATACACAAAATATATACAGAATATACAGACAATATACATTTTAAAGTGACTAAGTGACTCAGTGTTGTTATTTAAAGTGACTTGGTACTTTTAAAGCAAAGTGTTTGTAATGATCCATAATGAATTTACTCCCAATATCTTTTTTTAATAAATCAAATGGAAGTGATGTGGCAACTGAACTAGAAGGCTCTCATCAGTGCTCTCGTTTGGAGCACAAGAAGCTGCTTAAAATGCGATAAAATGCGCAGTTACGGTGAAATTAGATCCAGTGGTGATGGATGTCCACGCAGCACGTTACAGCTATTCTGCCCGTTTTCATTAGTGATTTTATAACTTGGGTTTTGGTCTCGTTGTAGAGACGGGGGGGATCGCTGTGTCAGTAAAGTATCCCTGAGACGGGTCGTGTGCAACAGACTGCAGGTCGCATAGCAGCGATGCGTTATTCGCATTTATAAGCACTGCAGTTGGTTTCCTGGTACGTTAAATCTGCAACGAGAGACTGTCAAACATTAAAAAGTGGCGAAGCTGAAGTCGCTTCTCTTTCGAATTCTCCCGTTCCACCTTAAATGGTGCCGCATTTACATTCGGCGCCTCAGTTAGAATTTAAGGGTGAACAGGTAAATTCGAACATGAAGCTGGAGAATAAGAAGCGACTTCAGCCTCGTAAAACAGTCGAACGCTGAGAGACATTTTACAAGAAACTGATCAACTTCTGAGGAAAGGTTTTCTGGCGGAGATGGGAGGAAAGCAGCTATGGCTGAAGCTTAAAGCAGAGCAGAGTAAATCTGCGCTCTCGTTTATATCGTTTAGTCTATACTAGGACATTATCCCACACTGAGACATACTGGACTTTAAATGTTGCGGCTCCCAAGCTGGTTTGATTTTTGTTAAAAGGACAAAATGTTATCATTTGTGTTGTGACTCCTGATCTAACCTGGCTTTAATGCAGAGGGAGCCGGTCGGATTTCTCACTCATCCACCTGTGTTTTTGTTATGTGCCGCCACAGACTGTCCGGGCGCTGCACTTCCGCACTTCCAAGTTCCGCCTTTTGCGTTCCGTCAACATTTCGTTATAAATTTAATATTTAGAAAATCGATTTTTGACTTTTGTGAATCGATTCAGATCGTTCACGTCCGCATCGCGATACATCTAAGAATCGCGTTTTATTCCCGCACCCCTATATATACATATATATATATATATATTTATTATACACACACATATATATACATATATATATATACATACACACACATATATATATACACATATATATATAGATAGATAGATGGATAGATATCCTGTTGTTGGACGAAAAAAAAACTTTTCTTTTAATGTAGGTCAATGGAACCAGACTTTTTTCCAAGTCATTTTGGGCCATTTCTTTTGGTTCATGAAACTTACACACAATGTAAAGGGCAACAGGCATTTTCAAATGATGTAAAAAACTGAAAAATGACAAAAATGGAGATACAAGGTTTTCTTCCGACAGCAGTAATATATTTTTTTTGGGAAATGTAGGAGAAAACAAAGCTCCGCTCTTGCTTCAGATCAGAAAAAATCCACAGCTGAGAAGACAACTCAATGCTATGGGTTTGAAAGGATGATTGAGAAAAGCAAAATTTGCAAATCCAACAAAGAAGCTGGTGTTCTCAGAATACCGAACTGACCGCCCAAGAGTCCAGACCTCATTATTGCATATGTGTTTGGGATCAGTGGGATCGTGAGAAGCTGAAAAATACAACCAACTTCCAAGACTGAACCTCTGGAAAAACTGAAAGCAAAAGGCAAATTAGGCAAAAAACATAAGAATCCAAAAACAGAGACCAGGGAAAAACAAGAAAACTCAACTAGGAACACTAAGGAATGCAAAGGTACACCTAAACAAATGGGCATAAATATGGAGACAGACAGGTCGGGTCCAGGGCAAAGCTGTGGAGGACCATTCCTGGATGGACTGCTCCAACTCAAGACTCCTGGCAAGGGCGAGACACATGACAGTAATACTGGGAAAGCGTGGACACACTAAATACTGAAAAGCAATACAATTATGTTTAGCAGCTCAGGCTTCTGTGTAATTTTCTATTCTCAGTTTTTTTTTTTTCCTGATAACTGATGACTGGAAATAAACTAAAAAATGAAGGGTGGTCTTGGACATCTATCAGCACTGTATCTCAAGTCATGAAAGCTCAGTTTATTTGACACATGCAGAATGGATTCCTGGGACCTGGCAGAGATATTTTGGTTTGTCACTTTCTTCCAGCAACCCATCAGTTCCAATGCTAACCGACACTGAGGTAAGAGGTGCAGTGTTGGAACACTATTCCAGCAGAAAGAGCGGCTAAGTGGACATGGCAGGCTCATAATTGAACATTCATTCCAGTCATCCAGTGGCTAATAGCTCGAGTTAGAAAATGATTAAAAACAAACCTTGACTGCAGTAATTTGCCAAGTTTTCAGCCACAGCGTACACACATGTCAATCAAATGACTTTTACCAAACAGGACACGCCTGAAAGGAATATCAACAGACTCGGCGTATGGGTCTCCATTAACAATCCGCATACCAACTCACGCCTCACTTCCATCTGCAATGCTGTCAGACCCTTCTACGCTGATGAGAAACCTGAGAGAACACTTAGTCCATTAATATTCCACTTTGTTTTAAGGGACGGCGCAGATCAACACTCCCATACAGAGCGTGGGCGCCAGAGAGAGCGAGCGACAGAGCAAGAGAGCCCAGAGATCTATAAATAACACTGAAAAGACTCTTACCATTGTCTTCAATGGAGAAATAGAAGGTGTCGCTGGTGGCATTGTTTCCATCTCGAAGTACGTAGCATACGTGCATGTCATCAATGTCAGCTGAGGGAGAGATGGTGAAAATACATCAGATACATCAGTAGAGGGACAGAAACAGATGCTGAAAGTTGTTCTTGAAGTATTTAAGAATATATTCATCCACTACTATTCAAGAGATATTTTCATCTACTACTGTGAAGAAAAACTGAGAATTTGTCTTTTTTCACATCGGCAATCAGAAAAAGCTGCTCACATGCACTTACACCGTACACTGTAGTTCAGTGACTGTTTTTTATGTGTTAATATCATTTGTTCACTTAAAGAAGGAACAAACAATGGACATTGCAATATGCCACACAGTTTATTAAGTGAAGTTTAGGCACGATTTAAAACCCTTGGAGGTTGTCTGAGGTGATGCTGGGAAATGCACATAGAAGAAAACTCCAATCACTATGGATGGTCTGCAGGCAGCAGTCAATAATAGGTGGGAAGCAGCTCCTTTAAAGATCACATTTAATGGAAAACCCACTTTTCTGGCTTTTGAATTAGATTTTGAATTAACAGCTAAGAAATAAGGTAGCATATGAGCCCTTTAAATATTTTTTTTCTGGCTTCATTTTAATATAAGGCTTTGATGTTGTAGGTAAAACACTGTTAAAGTTCACTCTCAGGCCATACAGTCCATATATGGAAAACCAAGCTGCAAAAACAGCTCATTTTGAACTACCAGCTTTGTGATGTAACAAACCAATGCATGAACAGCAAAAATTGTAGCATAAGGGCCCTTTAAATAATTAAAAAATTTAGGGAGAAAGAAATTTAGGAGGACCTAAAAAAGACTGATAAACTCTATGCAGTCAAAAAATAATTGCTCAAAGGTTTTTTTTCAGTATTGATCAGTGACATGCTAAAAAATGACAGCAAAACAGGAAATGCAGACCAACAGTTTATAGTGTTCATCAGCATTTTGTAGCTCCTCTGATGTTGAAAACTAGGCTGGGTATTGGCAGCAACTTTACCATACCATACGTATCATGACACAAGTGTTAAAATGCACCATGTGATGTACAACATCATCCAACGTAGCGTAAACAGTTAACGGCTAAGCGCTAATCACAGTAGGCTATAAACAAATAACTCACTACAGCTGCAAACTAATCACAGCTGTAAAAGTGAAACTGAAGCCCAGTCCTAAATATTGCACTAGTCTTGCGGTCCAATGTGGCCTTCAGGCGAGGACTGCAACAGTGTGGATTTAGCAACTGCCCTTTCTCCCCAAAATTCCTTAAGACACAGATGAGGACCAATCACAGTGCACATTTTTGTTGACAGCTGTCTGGTCAATATGGCAAGACGTGAGCGAAAATGCATTTGTTTATTAATTTAAGGAATTATGTTTGTAATTAGCTCATTTAAAAAACAGAGTGAGACCGATGTGCTGCATCATGCAGAGCCTGCACGTCATACAAGTCTGACCTAAATGCACATGTTTAAACCTTGTACCCTTGAGGTTTCTTGCCCTATAGGTCTGACATCATCAAGGTGAGGTCTTTAAGGAGGACTGCAGGGCTTAAGGTGGCATTAGAGACTGAGCATAACTCAAACACACAGCTAACAAGCAGCTTCCACACCTCTTTACATTTGTTAATAAAAGATACTCACATCATGCACACAGCAGTACTGGTAAAAATAATGAAAGCTTTACTCTCTGCTCAGTTTCTCCTGTGCATGAGGGACCGGAGTGAAACAGCCATTTATACAGATACTAGCAAATAAAAGCATAACTATTAGAGCATTGGTTTTCAACATGCTGGATGTTATATCACAGGTTTAGGTTTAAATACAGTAATGTTATATAGAGGACTGCTCATAACCAATATTATCTCAAATATTCAAAAACTCTAGGAGAATAAGGAAAGATATGTTTCACATCAATAACTAAATGACAAACAATCCTTTTATAAATCTCATCAGTATTTGTACTATTATTATTTCTAAGCCGCTTATCCTCCTGGGTTGCAGTGGGAGCTGGAGCCCATCCCAGCTGTCACTGGGCAGAAGGCAGGACACACCCTGGACAGGTCGCCAATACATCGTAGTATTATTATTATTAATAATAATAATAATATTAATAGTAGTTTTAACATTATTTATTGCAGAAAATACTACAAGGTAATGAAAAACATTTTAAAACAGTCAGTCATAGCATGCAGAATTAAATACTATTTTGAAGGAAATTACCCAACCTGGCAACCCGGGGACTACTGGTGGCTCAGTAGCATTTCACTTCATAAACAAAACTCTGTTTTTTGCCGGACTGATAAAACCGACACAATTTAGCACGTGAGCTCATAAAAACAGGTAAAAGTCACTGATATTCAATGTACCTTTTTGCCTATTTTATATTTTTTTTAATTATTGAATTTACCATTTATTTTTAATACTCATTACAGCCCTAATTATACTTTAGACTAACACATACACATCCCACATAGAAGTAAATATCAATACTGCCAATTTAGGATATTTTGCTGTATTGATATTTTGAACAGGCAACCTCACACTGTTTTGCCATACATTAATAAAGTATTTAGAAGTGATTAAAGGAGCTGCTTCCCATTCATTCTTCACTGTGTCTACAGACACATCCACAGTGAAGCCCCACAAGATCTTAACGAGGTTTAATGGTGCCTTAGGTTCACTGAATAAACTGTGTCTCATCTTGCATTGCCTTGTTGGAATTTCGGTGATTTCTCGTGGTATTTGTTCTTTAAATGAACAGACAGGATAAACACATCAACACCAGTGTACATCATATCAGTGGATATCAGTGTACATCATACATGCATGTTCTTGTTGACTGCCAGTGTAACATAATGCAGTTTGTAATAATAATAATGCAGTTTCAGTATTGAAATATGTGAAATGTGATCCTGAATCACAAAAAAAGAGAAATAAAGATTTAATTTAATAGCACACCTGATGTATCAGTCAAGAACGCGAAAAAAGGAAAGTATCACTGGTTCTAACAAGGTTTAAGTTTGTCACTTGTCACTTATTCACTGATGTATTTTGTTCTTAGGTCTGACATCTGAGTGCACATCACACAGCATCAGTTTTGCCTGATGTCTGCGGTTTAGAATTTGGGAAACATCACTAAAAAACCCTGGCACATCAATTTCCCGCAGAACGACAGGGTCCATAAAGAACATCAGAATTCCTGCTGGCACCACATCACTTATCTGTCTCTCTCTCTCAGCACCTTTTGAGCTGGAATCTTGGAGCACATGCTTTTGTAGCCTGGGCATTTTGGAGAAAGAGTTAAGTTGACAGCTGAGGCTATCAATATTTGATGTCAAAACAGTTCCTTTCAAAGAGGCGAGCTCATAAAAATGTAAACCCATCATTTTCGAATACCCACCAGGGAGCAACAATTTTATTTACTGTTGGTTCCCACCCGGGTGAGATGTCCTTGAAATATTAAAAAAGCATGCTGAAAAGAAGGAGGTTTTCAAACAGGAGAAATGGTATTGGAATGATCAGCTCTCCTGCTAGTTCTGCTGAAAGAAATTCTATCTGTTTGTGTGGCTGACTGACCAGCAGCAGCCCCGGGGTTAGTCTTGTTTGTTGGCAAAAAAAAAAAACCCTGTTTGCGCTCATGTTTGTACATGACATTTTTCTTCCAGAGTTTATTCTGCACCATGAAAGAGCTAGAGTTGTACTGTAACTCAGAATATGATGTTCTCAACAAATCTCAGGAGAAAACAATAAGTTAAAGCCTTCAGTTAAAGGGGAATTCTACAGATTTTTCTAAATTTCTGCAAAATTCATGCAAAATAAAGTCATTCATAGTGGTGTGATGTGAAATGGATCACTGTAGAGAAACTTGCTGACTCTGATTTAACAGTGGTGGTGATAGGAACCAGGTGTTGCATTGTCTATAACACAAAAACAGCCATTTCATTCACTATCCAAAACAACCAGTGGACCTATACAAGTATACAAGTTATATATAATGTTACTAGTAAACCTCAAAAATAAGCTTTTTTGAGGGACTATTTTTGCCTCTCCATCACAGATGACTTCAACAAAATATTCCAAGCCGAAGGCTTATCTCAAAACTATCATAAAACCATGTTTCATGCATCAGGCAGCATATTTTTAACTATTTCATGTAATAGCTTTCTGGGAAGTACAGGCATTAAAGGCCTTAAATGCTTTGGACGTCTGGTTCCTATCACCACCACTGTGAACAATTCTAACTGTAAGTTTCTCTACTGTGGAATATTTCACAAAAACACCCTAAATAATTTTTAACAGTTTAATTTATGCAGACATTTTGAAAAAAAAAATCATAATAATAACTGGAATTCCCCCTGTTAACGCACTGCAAATGAATGCAAATTCAAAAGCTACGCTGTAGTCTGCTTGAAATGATGTCTCGAATTCAGTTCAAACTACATATTTCTCTCTTCCCTGAGCTGTAATGGGTTTTGACCCATGCATACAGAGAGTTTAAACATTTGCATATACTTTACAGAGAATTTGCCACTGATCTCAAGAAAAAATTCAAACTCTTTCGGCAACCCTTTCAGAGTTTCATTAAACTTTAATCATTGGGCAACTTATGTACCGAGGCTGCACAAAGCTGAACACTGATAAGAATAATGGTGTTCAGATGCATTAAAATCATAAAAAAATAAATAATCTTACCTTGTGTGAACGTGGTGATGGTGGCGTTTCCTTTGCCCAGATCGATGAGGTAGCCGTGCTCTGCACCCACAGTGACTCTAAAAGTCACGGCTCCATGATGGCTGTCTCTGTCCTCAGCCTTCAGAGCTTTACTGGTGATCAAGAAGCCCAGGTGACCAGTGGGCAGCGTTCTCAGCATCGTACCACCCTTGTTAACCACAATCTGTGGAACGCCATTGTCCACAGAAAGAATTGTGATTTTCATCACTTGTGGCTTGCGCGTTTCAAAAACTGTGTCGGGGAAGACGTAAAAGTCTGTGTGGGTTCCATCAGTGACCGTGAAGGAGAAGCTGTCGGATGCAGACTCTGTTCCATCGTGCTTATAGCTGATCATGTTCTCATTGAGGTCCTGCTTGGTGAAGGTGGTGACAGGCCTGGTGTTGTTGAATAGAAGCTTCCCATGAACAGGCACCTGGGTGATGGTGAACTTCAGAAACCTGTCAACAGTGTCCCGGTCCTCCACGGTCAACTCAAAAGGGGTTATTAACTTAGTCTTACCCTCGTTAACAACCAGCCCGTGAATGGTGACCACAGGCTTTTTGTTGTCCACGTCTGTTATGGAGATACGGAAGGTCCGGAACACGGGGTTGTAACCATCCGTCACCTCAAACTCAAAGCTGTCCATCTTAACTTCATCATCTGCAGTGTGGATGTAGTAGACTTTGTTGCCAGCTAGCTGGAGCTGAGTGAAAGAGGTGATGGGCATGCCAGGGCGTGTCCGTGCACTCCAGGTGGCCTCTCATAGGAGCTCGAGTGATGGTGAAGACCAGATGCTCATCTGGGCTGTTGAGGTCACTTGTGCTGAGCAGGTCTGTGGTTAGAGTCACTCTTCCACCTTCTTTCAGAGAAACCCCTTTGCTAACCACGTCAGGGAACACCATGTCTATTCCACCAACTGTTACATAGAAGTACCTGTCAATCAGTGGGTTGATGCCATCAGTGACATCAAATTTGATGAGGTCACGTATTCCTTCTTGTCCATTGTGGATATATAAAATCAAACCCTGGTCAACATCATTTTGTGTGAAATTCATTCCGATCGTTATGTTTTCTAGTGTTCCAAGTGGCGTCCTCCTTTGTAAAATTCCCTGATTGGGACCATAACGGATAACATACGTTAGCGTACTATCCTCTGAATCCAGGTCTGTGGCTTTTAGAACTTTGTTGTTGATTTCTTTGATGTCGCCTATCTCTATTTCAAGGCCGTCATTAATTGCCATCCTTGGAGTTTCGTCGTCCACTGGGATGACCATAATAATGACAGTTTTTTCCACCGTGAATTTGCCATCAGTGAGAAGAACAGTGAAGCTGTCATCTGTGGTTTCGGAATCATCATGCTCATAAACAATACTAGAGGCCTCTCTTATCTGATCTAGAGTGAAGTTTGTTACTGGAACAGTGCCAGACGTTAACTGATTTAGAATAAAGCCATGTTTTGGGGGTTTAGTGATAATAAAGGTCAACTCATCTGTAGGAATATCTGCATCCAAGCCATTCAAAATAGGAGTGTCAATCACCACGTTCATGCCTTCCATCACCACAAACTCTCTCATGTGGATCTCTGGCTTTTCATCATTGGATGGAATTATCACAATGGGGAAAAAGTGTCTCTCTGAGAAATTGATGCCGTCAGAACATCTGAAAGTGAACCTGTCCTCAACTGGCTCCACTCCTCTGTGAATGCTTTGTACATAGTAGATATGGTTCTGTTTGATGTCTTTGATGGTGAACGCACTAATAGCAATTCCTGACCTGGATTTCTCTGACCCTGGAGCAGGTGATATGTTCTCCAAGTATCCAGACGTAGGCTGAACGATGATCGTGCACAAAAGGTCATCGTTGGGAGTGTCAATATCATCAGCGCTTATGTGCAATATCTGAATGGCATTTTTCTCACCTTCAATCACGCTGAATTGGGGGCCTACAAACACCTCAGGGGCTTGGCTGTCTATTGGCAAAATAGTTACCTGCACTCGAACACCCTTGATTTTATTGCCTCCGACAGTCCACTCATCAGACATATCTGTAAGCGTCAGATTAAAGAAGTCTTCTTTTGTGGTGAGGCCAATTTCTCCACTTGTGTGCGCATAGACTACTAAGCCACTGATGATGTCTGCTTGCGTAAATCTGTTGGACGGCACTCCATTCACCAGTATTTCACCAAACACTGGGGGATCCTCCACTATAAAGGTCAGTCTGAGGTCATCGGTGTCCTCATCTCGTCCTTGAATGACATTAGTGGTGATCTCCGTAGCTCCATTCTCTAAAACATCAATGTAGGAGCCGATAGTACCTTCTGGAAGGCTTATGGTTGGAACCTCATCATCGACGGGCTTCACAGTTATCCTAATAGTAATTGTGACAATATGGATCCCATCGCTTACATCAAGTTGAAAGAAGTCATTGGTTGACTCATCTCCATTGTGAACGTAAGAGATCCTGCCGTTGGAAATATCGTCCAGATTGAACAAATCCCCTTTAGTGAGGATGGTGAACGTGTATTGGAGCTGACCATGCGTAGGAGGCTGGGTGAGCGTGAAGGATATTCTTTTGCTATCAGTGTCGGGGTCTGTGGTATGAAGCTCGGAGTATGTGATGACATGAGTTCCCCTCTCCAACACAGTGAAGCCGGTGTTGGTTATTTGGGGGGGCTTGTTGTCGACAGGCTGCAGGAAAATGGTGAACGTTCCGTCGACACTGTTTCCTGCTGTATCTTCAACTGTGTACTGGAACTGCACCACATGCGGAGTTATTCCCAGCTCTAGATCAGGAGGCTTGTATGATATCTTATGGTGGTTTATCTGTGCTTGTGTGAACTCCGTGACCTCCATATTTGGACTCTCAGTCAAAACGATGGTTCCGAGGATACCGGGGCTGTTGGTATCTGTGTCTGTTGGTGGCTGAGTGATGGTGTATTTTAAATCCCTGTCTTCGGAGTCCAAATCCGTGTAACGTAGGAATTTCTTGCGAAAGTATGTGAGCTGGTACTCATGTACAGTCAGCTGTAAGGTGGTGCCAGGGTAAAGCTTAGGCGGGAGGTCATCAATAGGGAGAATTTTAATAATAAAAGAGCTCTCCCCAGACTGATTCGGTGGGTCATTATCATCTTGAACTCGGAAGACGAACTGATCCATAACGGCTTCGGTGTTGTGAGGCCCAATGTGCCTATAAAACAGCTTCCCATCTGTAATGTCTTGTTGGAGCCACTCTGTCACTGCCTTCTCATACATTTCATCTTCAGAATTGAACCTCCATGTGGATGGATCTTCTGGAGCATCAGACTGACGGAGCAGCACCTCCCCTATAGTTGAGAAAGGAGGCTCCATAATAAATTTGATGGTGGAGTCCTCAGAGTCAATATCAGCGGCACTGAGCATTAAAGCAGAAATAGGCATCATCTGGTTTTTAAACAGCACTAAGCCTGTGTTGGCATTGATAATAGGCGGCTCATCATCAGTTGGCACCACAGTTATGGGGAAAAGGAACTCTACTTCATGTCTGCCATCTGTCATGCGGAAAATGATGTTGTCACTGTACGTATCGCTGCCGTCGTGCTGGTAGATGACAGAGCCGAGGTCAAGATCTGCCGGCGTGAAGAATTTTCTCCTGGAGCCCAGCACGGTGAGCTCCCCATGCCTCAGCCCATCTATCACTGTGACTTTCACATCATCTAAATTGTCCTCGTCGCTAATCTGCAGGTTCTGCAAACTGGACAGCGGTCTAGACTGGCCCTCATACAGCAGCTGCCCTGTATTTCGAGTCACAACTGGAGCCAACGTGTTCATGGGCTTAACCACGATCATGAAAGCGAAGGGGTCTGAGACGGCTCCCTCTGTGTCTACGACCACAAACTCAATTTGGAAAATTCTCTCACTGTCCGAATCCACAGACGGAGGCTTGTACGCTATTTTAAGATCCTTCAGATCCCCCTGATAGAAGGACGTGATGGGCAAATTCCTGTCATCTGTGCTCACAATGTAGCCCTCCTCAAAAGACAGAGGAGAGGTAATGTTAAAGATTAAGTCATCAGGTGGGGATTCCACGTCCTCAGCGGCGAGCATGTCCGGAGTTATAGCGGTCATCACAAACTGATCAACTTCCATCATCATCATAGCCACAAAGCTGGGTTTGGGGGCAGTGTTTTCCTCCCCCTCTTTAATGCGCACCATAATTTGGAAAAACTCCTGCCTTATGACGTTACTTTCCTTGTCTTGTAGTTCTACGTACATTGGGATATAGTCTCGGTTCGGTGAGCGGTGGGCGAAAGTGTGCTGGTAGCGAACGTTCAGCCTGACAAATTCATCACAGTCAATCATTTTGCCTAGTTTACCTTCATCAATGAGCTTTCCATACCTGGGCAAAGCACTGACACTGGCAAGAGACGTTACTTTGCACTGATATGTATTCCTATCATATGTGAACTCCAGAATTTTCCTATCGATAGGATTACTTATCCCAAGCAGCTTTTCCACAACGAGGGGCATGTTTTTGGTCAGAATCTCCAGCTGAGTGAAGATCACCTCCACCTCCATCATGAACGGTATGATCACAGTGTGGCTCTGCGTGTCGTACCTAAGTTGTAGCCGCACTCTGTCTCTGGACGGACTCCTGGACCCGAAGTGCGAGTACTTCACATCGTTGGGGCCAAACTCACAGGGGAACTTTTTAGGAGACAGCTGCCCCGGTCTCTGTGACAGAGGGTCATTATCCAGAACTGTTAAGGTGCACTTGTCTCCGGGCTGGACCTGGATGACCAAATCGTTAACAGGATCAACGAAAACTGACCTGCCGAAAGGGACCCGTATTCCATTGTTAGCCACGAGTATGGCATCCTCAGACAGCTCCGATCTCAAGCCATAGCTGAGTCCAAAGCTGTCAAAAAGCTGCGCTGAGGAGCCGTCAGTCAGCGTCAGTGCGAGCACAAAGAAGCAGGTGAAGCAGGAGCCGCCGGAGAGCCGCATCTCGCAGGCAGGAGAAAACATCCACAGCTCGGTGAAAACGAGTGGAGAAAGTTAGAGGGGAAACGCGGCGCGCTGCTGAAAGCTGCCCCACGCCTCGGCGCTCAGGAGCTGCACCATTCTCTCAGCCAGCAGCTGCACTCCTGCACGAACTTCATGCCTAGAGGAGTAGGGCGGGCCTGGGCAGACCACGCCCCCTTCCGCTCCCATTGGCGGAGCGCAGACGGCGGAATGCGCTTTGAAACTTCTGATTGGAGCGCTGGCGCTGTCAGTCAGGGAGGCGGGTCAGAGCGAGAAACAGAGCGGGAGGCACAGAGAAAAGAGGAGAAACGACGGGGAAAAACACTAAAAAGATACTATTATTTACATGATTACACTGACAAAAAGAGGGCAGTTTTTGACAACATTTTGAAGTGTAAAAGAAATGTGAACATTTTTTCTTTCAATGTTTACACTATTAAATATTTTTTTCATTTTTTATTTTTTTTTAAATAAGAGTTTATCACGCTGATGATTTCTCAAGTACAGAAAATACGTATATATATATATATATATATATATATATATATATATATATATATATATATATATATATACATACAAATTGACAATAATATTACATGTTTAGGCTCCTCAACTAATTTCCAAAGTTCTGAAAACAATCGTTTATTTATTTATTTATTTATTTATTTATTTATAATCAGGAAAGTAATCGGATGTAATTAAAGAAGAAGTAGATGTGTTTTTTTTTTCTTATTGACACTGAAGTGGTTCGTTGCTCGTTGCTCGTTGCTCCGGCTCCCTCTGGTGGTTGGAACAGAAAGTGCCCTCTAAGAATGATCAATTAAACGAGCACTGAAATATTTCAGGTTTGTTCTGCTAAACAGGTATTTAGATCTGAGTATTTCTGTTAGCTGTAGTGGTATTTGTTTTGTTCTTCGGCGATTGTTAGAGGCCAGTATCAGTATAAATGTATTACAACACAGACTGTGACTATGACTTTTTATTTCTTTAACAATATCAGCTGCTAGAATACTGTATCAACCAAATACTGTATTCCGTTGCTGTTGTTCTGGTTGCTACCTCATGACTGCTATGGTCATATATGACAGACTATCTGCTAATATGTCATAGTATGTTACATCCTGCTTCGCACAACTCCACGTATAGCTGCTGTCGGACGAAAAGTTCCTGTGTCCCTTTACATTGTGTGTAAATGAGCAATGGACCAAAAGAAATGGCCCAAAATTACTTGGAAAAATGTCTGATTCCACTGACTTACATTAAAAGTAAAGTTTTTCCTTCTCCTGTAAAGTTACCAATTTGGAGATACGAGGTTTTCGTCAGACAACAGCGACCCAATCAACTCAATACCATCTGTGTCCTGCTTTGTATTTATGGTATTTATTGCACTGTATTGTCTGCACTGTGTATATTGTTTCATTTTGCACCTGTGTTCCTGTGTTGGGAAGGAATGTCTTGTTTCAGAATGTCTTGAGTATTTATGATGTTGATGGTAAACCAGAAAGAAATATTTTGCCTTAGAACTCGCAGCATATACTCCTCCACTATAAATGGACTGAAAAAAAATATGTGTTAAGCTAAAACCTCATCTCAAATCTACAAGTATAATGTATCAGGCCACATATTCATAACAAATTGGTGTAATAACTTTCTGTGATGTTGCTTTGGTGTCTGGTGATGTCTGGTTCCTATCACCACCACTGTAAACAATTATCAGTAATTTTCTCTTGAACTCTTAACCATTTAATCAGGCAGAATTTTTAAAACCAATGGAATTCCCCTTTAAGCTGATGTAGACTATCCTATCTCACGACGTAGGCTGAGTCAATGTAATCACATTAAGTTCCTAAAACCCCTCTGACTATGTAAAAAATGCATAAAATGTGTTTATTTTAAATCACTTCTGTCTGCGTGTTTTATTTTAGTATCAGTTTCACCAGAAGTCTCAGCGTTTTATTGAACTGGAACTGCATTAACAGAGGCATTCCAGTTATTCAGGTCAAATGTTTCTGACTCCATACTGTACTGTGCACATGTGTTGTGTTTTATTGAGTGATAAGCTATGCACGGGTCTCTAGGGGGCTGCCAGGGGACGTGAGGAGAAGGAGCAGTTGCTGAGTGTAAAGATATTACAACATATACAAATGAAAAAAACACATAAGCTGTGAAACACACAGTTACATACAAACCACACACATCTCGTGAGATCTTGGCCTGTTTTTTGTGACGAACGCTAATTTTTTATTACGTTCTGTGAGAGTGGAATCATACATCTAATAAGGCACCCGTAATGCCTATCGTCATGTGTGACAGTTAAACTGTATGCATTCACAGCCTGTTACCAATAGTTATCCAGCACAACCATCGTGATATGAAATAGTGCTATTCATTAAAAGCATTTTTCATTTCTCTATGTATACGTACACCGATCAGGCATAACATTATGACCACCTCCTTGTTTCTATGCTCATTGTCCATTTTATCAGATCCACTTACTATATAGGTGCACTTTGTAGTTCTACAATTACAGACTGCAGTCCATCTGTTTCTCTGCATACTTTGTTAGCCCCCTTTTACCCTGTTCCTCAGTGGTCTGGACCCCCATGGACCCTCACAGAGCAGGTACTATTTGGGGGGGTGGATCATTCTCAGCACTGCAGTAACACTGATGTAGTGGTGGTGTGTTAGTGTGTGTTGCGCTGGTCGGAGTGGATCAGACACAGCAGTGATGCTGGAGTTTTTAAACACTGTGTCCACTCACTGTCCACTCTATTCAACACTCCTACCTTGTCAGTCCACCTTGTAGATGTAAAGTCAGAGACGATAGCTCATCTGCTGCTGCACAGTTTGTGTTGGTCATCTTCTAGTCCTTCATCAGTGGTCACAGAACGCTGGTCACAGGACGCTGTTGGCTGGATATTTTTGGTTGGTGGACTATTCTCAGTCCAGCAGTGACACTGAGGTGTTTAAAAACTCCAGCAGCACTGCTGTGTCTGATCCACTCAGACCAGCACAACACACACTAACACACCACCACCACATCAGTGTTACTGCAGTGTTGAGAATGATCCACCACCCAAATAGTACCTGATCTGTGAGGGTCCATGGGAGTCCTGACCACTGAAGAACAGGGTAAAAGGGGGCTAACAAAGTATGCAGAGAAACAGATGGACTACAGTCTGTAATTGTAGAACTACAAAGTGCACCTATATAGTAAGTGGAGCTGATATAATGGACAATGAGCGTAGAAACAAGGAGGTGGTCATAATGTTATGCCTGATTGGTGTATATATACACAGTACAAATACAAACACAATATAATTGCTGATAATTGGCTTTGAATCTGTCGGTCTGTTTCCTTCTTAGCTTCAACCATGTATCATCAATACAAACTGACAATTGTCCAAAATAGGTGAATTCACACACTTTTCTACACATGGTGTCTATTTGAATAGACTCACACTCCATGCTTTACAGTCTTAGTAAAAAGGGGCTTTATATAGCACAAAAAGGTGCTGACTTCCAATAACAATAGCAGAACCCTATTTGGTGCTATATTGAACCATTTTTAAGTGGCCTTTTTAAAAGAACCACATACAGCAGACTTTCCATAGCAGAGATGAACCACTTGTAACCATGCAAAGAGCCATTATTGCATTCAAATGGTGATCTAAGCGTTCACTGTTCTATATAAAACCAATACATTTACTGAAGAACTGTTTTTTGTAAGGGTTTGGAAACACCTGGATGTAGAGATTTATTTGTGATCTGTTGGCTGACGAAAAAAGCTTTAATTTTTCTCTTGATGATCAGGATAACTGTCATTTATTGTCATCCAGAGCACTTTAATAAGAGTCTTTCATCATAATTTATGATCAAGAAAGAAGCACAAGGACTTTAAAGACATACAGTACTGTGCACGTCAGAGACTCCACTTCATAGATTTAATTTCCAGACAAAACAGCCATTCAGTACAAAGCAGAAAATCTATATTTACCAGGGAATTACACAGAACTCACACACACATTTTCTAAGCCGCTTATCCTTCTGGGTTGTGGAGGCAGCCAGAGCCTATCCCAGCAGTCACTGGAGGGAAGGCAGGAAACACCCTGGACAAGCTGCAAGTCCATCAGTGCAGACACACTGACATACACATTCACACCAAGGGGCAATTTACCATGTCTAGTTCACCTGACAGCATGTCTTTGGACTGTGGGAGGAAACTGGAGCACCTGGACGAAACCCTTGCAGGTACGGGGAGAACATGCAAACCCCACACAGAAAGGACCCTGGCCTCCTGGCTGGGGAACTGAACCCAGGTCTTTCTTGCTGTGAGGCTACAGCGCTACCCTCTGTGCCACAGCCTCAACAGTGCAGTGTATATATATATTTCAGTATTTAGTGTTTCCACTCTTTACCTTTATTATATACTTAATAAAGATGGTTCTTCAAGGGTTCCTTAGTCAAGAAAAATGGTTCTATATAGAACCATTAACACTCAGAATGCTTTGCATGATTAAATGGTTCTCTGCATCATGAAAGGGTTCTTCAGATTAATGTAGAATGTGCTGTAGATGGTTCCAAATAGAACCTTTTTCTTTATTAAAGAACCCTTGAAGAACCATCTCTTCTAACGGTGTAGTTTCAATTCCTTTTAGGAGACTTGCTTTCAGTTTCTGAAAGAAATCTGCAGGGATGTTTATACACTCCTCCAAAGTTCACTCTTACAAGTTGGTTACATTTTCCAATTCAAGTAATCCCAATTACAAATCTACACTCATCCACCTATAAACTTCACTCCACATCTCAGATGTCCAGTTTTGGTGTTTTAGTGCAAACTTTCTACCTCTTTTTTGTCTCTTTCATTTTCTCAGTGAGGACATCTTATCAGCTACACATCCTTTCAGACTCAGTGTTGAGTTGTCTTCTCACAGTGGAAGGATGGACAGAAACACCTGTGGATTTTTCAGATCTGATTCAAGAGTGGAGCTTGATTTTCTCCTCTCTCTCTCAAAGACGAAAGCTTTAAGTGCTGTTTATCTGATGGGGACATTTTTCGTGGTCTATCAGGTCTTGCAAAGCTGTAGATGTTCAA